CCTTTCTTCAAGATAGCCCCTTCCCCGCCGTCTGAAAGCCACTGTTTTCCTCAAAAATCTGCTCACTGATTCCTTCACAGAAGAAGAAGGAGTTGGATCGGAAAGAGCTTGAGGAGGAGAAAAGTTGTCAGGTGTCACGTAGTGAGGAGCTGTGCTCTAGACCACCAGCCCGCACTGGTTGGAATTCTTATTTGGTGTGTGAACTCAGGGCAAGCTGCTCATGTTGTCCTCAGTTTCCTTATTTATAAAATAGGGATGCTAACAATGCCAACTAGTGCAATGGGGACTAAATCATGTAAAGCAGGGCCTGGCATGTTGCTGCTACTGCTGAGAAAGTCTATTCTCCTTTTCCAAATTTTGTTCTCTGGATACTCCCTGAGCCAGGGAAAGAGTTGGTGGCTGGGCCAGTATAGTCCTTTTGGCTCCTAACTCCTTCCACCTTCCCTCTCTGAAGGCACCTGAGGTCAGTCTCAGTTTGTGTAAGGATTTCAGAGCTCCTGATTCTGAAGGGTAGAAAGCAGAAGGGGCTTCCTCCTGGCTCCCTTTCTCTTCTCTCAGATCCACCTTCTGGAGACTCCACCCATCCTCAGGGGAAGAGCCCAGAAAGAGGACATGGCCACTGGACAAAGGGGAGCAAAGGCTCAGGTGAGTTCATTTCTGTTTCATTTTCCATGGATGGATGTTTTGCCTATCCTCTTCTAAAGTTCTGGACCCAGTAAAATCTTATCCAGCATCTGGAGCCCAAGCCCTTTTCCCTAGGAGGAGTTGGTCCACCCTGGTGGCTGGTGGATTCTGTGAGGAATGCTTACCCACTCCTCCATCTGTGTCTGGTGTTTCTCTTTTTTTTATTTTCCCTGATAGGCATTCTTTTGTTCATCGTTTTCAATCTACTGTGTGATTACTCACTTGACAAGTAATATGCCATGTGTCTTATATCACTGGGGACAAAATAAACATGCACACTTGGAAAAGTTCCTTTCTGGTCCTGCCTCCTTCACCCACTGTCTTCCTCCCTTCCCTTGGCAAAAATGATTTTGTTTCGTTTCATCTCTGAGAATTCTGATACCACCCCCAGGCTTCTCCAGCCCAGTTCTTAGGTTTTGTCTCCATCTTAACTTTATGTGGCGCCCTGGTGGCATAGTGATTAAAAACTTGGCAGCTAATCAAAAGGTCAGCAGTTCGAATCTACCAGCCGCTCCTTGGAAACTCTATGGGGACAGTTCTGCTCTGTCCTATAGGGTCACTATGAGTTGGGATTGACTTGATGGCAATGGGTTTGGTTGTTTTTGGTTTAATTTTATGTATTATATGCCTTGCTTTTACTACTCAGTTAAAAACTGATGTTTACTGGCAGTATTCAATATTCTAATATTGTGGGAATCGGGGAGGGGCCCCGTCCAGGTTAGCCAATGTGAGAACAAAGTAGAGCTGTGTTGGAGGGGACACAGTTTGGAGTGGTCTCTTGACTTCAAGGGTAGAGGGAAGACTCCTCAGGATGCCTCTGGGACAGTTTGATGGGATATAAGTAGTGGAGAGGCTGTGTACACAGTGGTTCAAAAGTGGGACTCTCAAGCCTGAAGTCCTGGATTTTCATCCATCTCCTTTGCTGCCGTTTGTGGGCCTTGTGCAAATCACTCCTCTTTGCTCCAGTTTTCTCACTTGTAAGAGAGGAATAACAATTGTTTTAGTTGTGTAGTGCTGCTATAGCAGAAATAACACAAGTGCATGGCTTCAACAAACAAATTTATTCTGACACAGTTTTGGAGGCTAGAAGTCTGAATTCAGGGTGCCAGCCCTAGGGGAAGCCTTATTTCTCTCTGGGCTCTAGGGTAAGATCCTTATCTCTTGAGCTTCTGATCTTTGGCTCCTTCGTGTGGCATGGCCATCTGTCTTCCCCCATCTTTGCTTGCTCACTTGCTTGTTTAATCTCTTTTACATCTCAAAAGAGATTGGTTTAAGACACACCCTATGCTAATACTGTCACATTAACATAACAAAGAAAACTCGGGATTATAACCACAGGTGTCCAAAAAAAAAACCCTATTACCATTATGTGGATTCCAATTCATAGCAACCCTATAGGACAGAGTAGAGCAGTCCCATAGGGTTTCCAAAGAGCTGCTGGTGGATTAGAACAGCTTACCTTTTGATTAGCAGCTGAGCACTTAACTACTATGACACCAGGGCTCCAAAGCACAGGTGTAGGGGTTAGGATTTACAACCCATATTTTGGGGGGACACAATTCAACCCACAACAGTAATTGTGCCTACTTCATAAGGTAGGTGAGAGAATCACTATAGTTAGTACATTGAAAGTGCTTAGATCAAGGCCAGGCATATAGTTGATGCTCAATATGTGGTTGTTATACTAGCTAAACAATATTATTAATAATGATATTAATCTTAGTAGATAGAGACTTCTATACAATGTTTGTAGGACCTAGAAAATACTTGTTCTTTACTCATTCTTCAGCTAACAATAATAGTTTGTTTATTGAGTATCTGGCATGCTTGGAAATGTGCTGAGTGCTTTACATGTGTTATTTCTCACTGTCATAGCGATTATTATTCTCATTTTAAATACGAGGAAGCAGGCTTAGAGAAGTCAAAGCACTTGAATTCAAACCCATATGTTGTCTGGCCTATAAATTCATGCCCGTTAATTATCCAGCCTTGGTATATCTTTTGGAACACAGGACAGATCCAGCCCATGTGTTACCAGAGCTCTTCCCCAATGAAATGAAGAGGTGTTTGATCTTCGGAGGCTACAGCCAGGGCCTGCTGTTGCATATTTGGGCTGCTGTTCTTTTCTTTTAAGCCATTTTCACATGTTCCTATAGTTCTAGGTTACTCTCTTGGTCAGAATCTTCTCTATCCCTGTGTGTGACTAAATCCTGTATGAAATTCTCCATAACCTCATCTGCTGCCCAGTACTGCATAGACTTATGTATAAAAATTGATGATGAGAAGTTTAAGACCAGAGAGACCATACAGATTGCTGGGTTAAAAGTTAGAAAACTTTTGTTATAGTCCTGCCGCTGCCACCAATAAAGTATGTGACCTGAGGTGTTGACTACCACGGACCTTGTGTTCCTCATCTATAAAATGAGGATTGAACTAGGAGTTGGTCTACGGTCCTGTCCAGCTACACATTTTTCTTTTATTGTTCAAATAATTGAACAATTATTTCATGCATTTTTCTGGTCCGTGAATTGAATTGTAAATTCTTTGAAGGCCAGGATCATTTCTTGTACTTATTTCCCGCATATGTCAATAAATTATCTTTCTTGTAAATATATTGCATGCTCATGGTAAAGATTTCAGAGAATAAAAAATACATATATAAAGAAGAAAGTAAAATCACTCTTAATTCCACCATCTGGAGATAATCACTGTCATCCCTTTGGTATGCATTCCTCAGAATCATTTTCTATGCACAAATACATACTTATTTATATTTTGCACAAATGGGAACAAATTATACTTAGTTTTTGAGCTTATTATCATGGATGTCTTTTGATGTCAAAAAATATAGACTTGATACTTAATCAGTAAAACAACAACAAAAAAAACCAAACCTATTGCCGTTGAGTTGATTCCAACTCATAGTGCACCTACAGGACAGAGTAGAACTGCCCCATAGGGTTTCCAAGGCTGTAATCTTTATGGAAGCAGACTGCCATATCTTTCTCCCGCAGAGCAGCTGGTGGGTTTGAACCACCAACCATTTCACTGGCAGGAGAGCACTTCTGCACCTTCAGGGCTCCTCAAAGAACTTAATCATTACATACTATTTAATCATATGGATTTGTCAGTAGCTATTGACTGTATGGCAATGGGTTTGGCTTGGAACATTTGAACTTTTAATATGAGGCAGACACAATTTTAAGTGCTTTTTTTTTTTTTTTAACTCTATGAGGTAGGTGTTGTGAGACAGTTTTGCAGAGTTTTTAAGAATGGAGACTTGGACATCTGCCTGAATAGGAATCTCAGATCCACTACCGACAAGCTGTGTGACTTTAGACTGATTTCTTACCTTCATGGTGACTTTCTTATATCATGTGTAAAATTGAGATAATATTAGTACCTTCTTCATAGGGTTATTGTGGAGATTAAATAAAGATTATACTAAAGATTAATACAAAGCTCCAAGAACAGTGCCTGGCCCATAGAAAGCATTCAATAAATGAGAGCTATTTTAATTTTCATTATTACTATCCTTAAGCTTGAATAATCTGCTCACAAGCATACAAATAATGCCTTACATTATTTAACCTGGCCTCCATCAATGGTTATTTAGGTTGTTTCCATTTTTCGCTATTACAAACACCACAATAAATATTTCTGTATCTGCTTTTTTGTGCATTATTACAATATAACTATAGTAATTGATGGGTTAAAGATCATGCACATTTTAAAGCTTTTAATATGTATTTTCAAATCACCGTCAGAAGGATTATTCTAATTAACTCTCCCACTAATGGTCTTAATATCTACACATCTCTTACAGTGGTTAGTAGTACCTGGTTCATACATTATGCTGCTCAGTATATATTTGCCATTGGTTGATTGTTCATTAATCAAGTGACCTTGAACCTTCAGAACCTTGAATAACATCAGAAGCTTTTCATGGATAGCCTGCCTGCCTTCCCCCTTCCCCTGCCAACAACTTCATTCTGTGTGCTGAGTAGTCTGGATGAGCTTGAATGGCTTGTCATTACAGGTGTCGGTGACATTCAAGGATGTGGCTATACTCTTTACTCGGGATGAGTGGAGAAAGCTGGATCCTTCTCAGAGGAGCTTGTACCGGGATGTGATGCTGGAGAACTATAGCAACCTGGTCTCACTGGGTAAAGAAAAGCTCCCCTGTAGATTGAGAAATTGGGATATCTCAGGACCTCATTCCCTGGATGAAAACCATGGGTCATCAAAAAACTTTAGCTGAATTTTGTCATGGATTGTCCTTATAGGATCTTTACAAAAAATGTAAAAGTGTTATTCTCCTGTGTTGGCATAGAATTACCCCATGTATGAGAGTGGATCGGGTAGTACCGATAATCATCCCCTTCCCTCTATACAGTCACATGTTAGGCATTTCTTCATGGTTCAGGCATCATTTCCCTAAAACAGTTGCTCAACAGAGGGCATTATTCAACCTTTTAGACCTTCCACTTGCCTTTTCCACACTTCTTTTCCAGCTAGATGCACGCTGTATAACCCAGTAGTCAGCAGACTTTTTCTGTAAAGGTACAGATAGTGAATATTTTAAACTTTGAGGGCCACATATGGTCTCTGTAGTATGTTCTTTTTTTTTTAACTACTTTTTACTCGAGGGCAATACATTAAACAGGAGTGTCTTGGATTTGGCCCATAACCCGTAGTGTGCTGACTGCTGCCATCTTTAAAAGGGAGTCAGATTTTTTTTTTCTCATTTTTAATAAGATATTTGGTACATAATCTTTTCTATATATACCTGTTGGCAAATTTTAATTCAGTCTGTGCATCTAACATATTTCCTCTTCTATAGAAAGCTAATGATACCTATTAATCGAGGCTGTATATGTTTACCTCATTTCTCTAATGTACAATTAATTATAACATAATCATGTCCTACAAGTCATTTGTCTTTCCTTTGACACATCCCCTCACACATTGTGGGGGCACAATCTTGAGCACCCACAGACGCTCTTCGTACCATACTGAGTTTTCAAATTTTGTTTTTGTGCTGACCAAAGATCTGCAGCTAAGTATTCTCATACCTCTTTATGACAGAAAAAAACCAAGTCTTTTTTTTTGTCTCTGAGCAGGACCCCCATTTTCCAAGCCAGAAGTGATCTCCCTGTTGCAGCAAGGAGAAGAGCCCTGGAAGGTAGAGAAAGAAGGTCCTGCAGGCTCCTCTCTGGGTGAGTGGATGAGACTGAAGTGCCTGGGAATCATTGCAGGTTTAATAGTCTGATTATTTAAAGAGGAGGATGTACTTTGGAGGTATTGATTGAGAATCTTTCTTCAAAGTTATCGGTCCTCAAGAGAAGGTGGGGAAGGAGAAAACTAAGGCCCCAGGACATGAGCTTTCTCAACAAGCATAGTATATTTAATGAACTGCAAATAATTCTTTCTGGCTGGCACTCAAGGTATGTATATGGGAAGGAAAGAAGATGAAGAAGGAAATGAGATTGGAAAGCTAGGTAGGGGCCACGTTATCAAGTACAATTCTAAGGCATATGAACTGTCCTGAACAGTCAGGACATATGAACAGTCAGGACAGTTCATATGCCTTAGAATTGTACTTAATAACGTGGCCCCTACCTAGCTTTCCAATCTCATTTCCTTCTTCATCTTCTTTCCTTCCCATATACATACCTTGACTTTCAGCCAGAATGAATTATTTGCAATTTCTTAAATATACTGTGCTTGTTGAGAAAGCCCATGGATGACTGAGGGAGCCCTGGGGGCATAGTGTTTAAGAGCTTAGCCAAAAGGTCAGCAGTTTGAATTCGCCAGCTGCTCCTTGGAAACCTTACGGGGCAGTTCTGCTGTGTCCTATAGGGTCACTGTGAGTCGCAATCGACTCGATGGCAGCAGGTTTGATTTTTTAGGTTTATGGATGACTGAAGGCACCCTGGTGGCACCGTGGTTCTGCACTCTGCTGCTAACCGAAAAGTCTGCAGTTCAAACGTACCCAGTGGCTCCGTGGGAGAAAATACCTGGCGATCTGCTCCCTTAAAGATTACAGCCTAGGAAACCTATGGGGCAGTTCTACTCTGTCCTGTAGGGTCTCTATGAGTCTGAATCACCTTGACGGCACACAACAACAACAACATGGATGACTGGGAGTAAATTAAAGGATTTAAGCAGAAGAATTATACAGTCTTCAATACTTTAGAGCAAAGTGGTCTAAATCAGAAACAATTTAAATGTCCTTCATTGAAGGAATAGCTAAAGAAGCTGTGGTGTGTCCTTATTGGGCATACATTGCCACAGTTAGAAAGGAAGAGCATGCTGGTGTGAACAGAGCTCCGAGACATGTTAAGGGCAAAAGCAAGTTATAGAGCAACATTATGCTATGATGGCATTTATGTTTAAAGAAAATTATGTATGTTATGTTTTTGTTTATAATATGCATGTAAGTACAGAGAAAAAGGTAAGGAGGATACACCTTAACTGGTCATAGCAGTTACATTTGGAATGGGCTCAAGAATGGGGTGGTGAAAGCAGATTTTATTTTTAAATATAATAATTTTTCACGAGAACATATTTATGAAGTCCTTGTGTAATTTAAATTTTATAAGAATGATCACTTTGGAAACATTGTGTGGGATAGATTTAAAGTGAGGCAAAACTAGAGATGGGAAACTTTGCAGAGATTATTGCAATAATCTAGGCAAGTTCGTAGGGCCCTAATGAAGACGCTTGAAGTGAGGTTCCTGAGGAAGCAGAAGAACATAGGAGGGGAGCAGGTTTGTTAAGGGTATAGGGTCAGTACAGTGTAGGATGGGTATCCTCTGAGATGTAAGTAAAATACTGAGGTGGAGATAGCTAGTGGGCAGTTGTATAAGGTAGGTGGAATTGGAACTCAGAGGAGAGTCGGAGTCATCAGTACAAAGGTGACTTGTGAAGCCTTGAGCTAACTGAGGGAAGAGGGCAAAGGACAGAATCCTAGGAAACATCAAATTTACCAGATGGGTTTAGAAAGAGGAATCTGTGAGGAGCCTGAGAAGAAGTCACCAGAGGGAGAAAAACGGGAGAGGCAGGTGTCATGGAAGCTGGGGAATGAGAGCTGTTTAAGAGGGGAGGCTCAGACTCTGGAGTCAGAAGATCAAGGTTCAAACACTTGTCTACTGCTTTTCTGTCCGTTAAAACTTAATACATGATGAGTGAGTTCCATACCGGTTACTGGGGGTGCAACATTGGACAGAAAGAGACCAAGGTCCTGCAGTTGTGGAGCTCACATTCTGGTGGGGAAGACAGGTGCTGATAAACTATGCACACACAAAGCTGTAAAATTACAAATTGTGAAAAGTACCAGGAAGGAAAGATAGAAAGTGCTATGAGAACATATGATAGGAGGGACTGTCAGCAAAGGCTTCCCTGAGGAAGTGGGGGTTAGGGAAGGTACGCTGAGGATGTAGAGAACTTATCCGGGCATAGGGAGTGGCAGTTCTCACGAATGGTCCTGAGAAAGGAAGCTAGTCAGTCCAGACGGGGTGAGGAGAACAGTGTAAGAATCGTCTGGAGAGAAAAGCAGGGACTAGGTCACACTGAGCTGTGGACCCTGTCACAGACTTTGGTTTATATTTGAGAGTCATGAAAAGCCACTGAGGAGTTTGAAGGAGCCTGGCCACATGCCCAGGTTTACATTCTGAAAAGGAGGTCACACTGTAGCCAATGTGGAAAGCATGCTGGAGTGGAAGTGGGAAGACTTGTCTGAGGCCATTGTCAGGTCCACTGGAATCATGAGGGCCCCTCAGGACCGGGGCCTAGCAGAGGAGCTGCAGGGCAAGCTGTCTAGGTCCTGGAGGCCCTCATACTGGGGAGGAGCTTTCTCTGTATAAGTTGAGATTTTTTTCATATGGGAACCACATTTGACTCTCATTTGGGAGAAATACACGAATCTTGTGAAAATGGTAGGAAGCCACCACCATGTAAACAGAGAATGCAGGCAGCAGGGAACTAGTTGAGAGTTAGAAGGGGCATCAGTCTGGCCATTAGGTATGGAGTGAGTCTGGCATGAAAAATCAGAAGGAATTGTTCTCTCTCTTCTCACTTTGGGGGCATCTGATTGATGAGTGAGTCTCCTCAAGTGAAATGAGTATTAATTGCTTTAAACTGAATAGAAAGCATGACTGGTGTCCAGACTGTCCAGAGAGACACTGGGGCCACCTGACGGTAGGGCTGGAGTCTTCAGTTAGCTTCTTTCTCTGGTTTGGGAAGAATCCTGAAGGAAAACCATGAGCATGTGTCTGAAGGAAGTGAAGGACGTCCAGAACTGACCTTTCTTTCTTCAAAGATCAAAGTCAGGTGGGAAGTCCTGGGAGTGCTGCCATGTGGTGGTCGCAGGGATGCACATTAGAGGCCTGCTGAACCCCTGGCGAGTCTCCCACGTGCCTGGACTCCAGTGTCCTCAGAAGAGCTTCTGTTTGCTTCATTATGCAGCACAATTTGAAGGAACTGGATGTTCATGAAAGTACCTTAGACCAGAACTAAAAACACCCTTTGAACAACCAGAGACCAGAAAGCTTATGCTTCCAGGAGTAGGACGGCCCGAAACCTCCAAACTGCCTCAAACTGTAAATTTAAAAAATTATGTTCACTTAAAAACTGTTCCTAAGTAGGAAGAAACAAAAAAGGAAAACAGACTTGTGAATGTCATCCTTTGGTGTGTCAGTTTTCAGGTGAGAGATGGAAGGAAATGGTTTAAAGGGTATGCCTCTCTCTCTTGGGTCTCTTGCTTAAGAAATGAGCCCAAAGTACAATGACTGAGGCTGTGCTTTTCTGGAATAGTTATACGAAGAAAGTGGTGAAATCAGCTTGTACATCTCATAAGTTTGGTGTAGACCCAAATGTAAAAATATTCTTGAAATATTAAATTTTTTAAATTACAAACATGATCTAGGTAAACAGTTTCTTCCAGTGAAAACTGTTTTCCTGTCTTTCTCCTTTCCTCTTCCTTTGCTTTCTTAATGCCAACAGAATTTGTGCACATCACTCACTGCATGCATAAGGGTGGTCCGTTGAAGCTCCCTTGGGAGACAGTGTTCTGCTCAATACGATTTGCTGGGGCTGCATCTGCACAAAGGAAGGGGATTCTTTTTCTAACCTGCACAGAGTTGCTGTCGGGTGGTTAGCAGCAGCCCCAGTGAACAGCATGTAATGCTTTTTAAAATGCGAATGTTCTTACAAGGTGAAAGTGGAGCTAAAATTCTCTGTAGCTCTGTTTAATATTATGAATTAGTTTTGTTCTTGTCCCCCTGCCTTCCCCAGCAAAGACTCCTCACTGTGCCCTGCACCTCCCCTCTTACCACTGTTCTTGTAGCATCTGTTCTTGTAGCAGACAGAATGATCTTTTTAAAAGTAAATCAGATTGTATCACTCTCATACTCAAAATCTCTAGTTGCTTCCATCACATAGAACCCAGTTTCCTCATTGTGGCCTACAGAGACCTTATGTGATCTGGCTCCAGCTATCTCTTAACCTTTGGGAGATGTTATAAATTCGGTTTTGAACGAATTAAGTTGTCTTTGGTTGATTCAGTTATCCAAGTGGAGAGGTCAAGTAGCCTGTTGGGTTTAGAGTACTACACCTTAAAATATAGACTGGATGTGAAATGTTAATTTGAGAACCATGGTCAATATAAAGTATTAAAACAACAGTTGAGGTTGAGTTAGCCTAGGGAGAGGGTTCTGAGTACAATAACAGAAAGAAAGTAGAATTGAACGTTGAAGAACTCCAGCATTTCATGGCAAGGTAGAGGGAAATAAACCATAGGGAAGGCATGTAGATATGATATAGGAGGAAAATTAAGAGTCTGGTGTCATTGAAGGAAAGGCTCGTAATAGGATGGTAGCAGTAGAGATGGGGAGAAGTAGATGAATTGGAGAAATATTTACATGGTAGAATTGACAGATTGTGGAAATTGATTAGATGTGGGGGCTGAGGGAGCTAGAGGTGTTGAAGGAGTTAGAGATGTTGAGGGTGACTCTTAAGATTTTGGTCTAGAACTGGTGCTGTTTACAGAGCCTACTTAAACAGGTTAAAGGGACTAATCGTGAATTCAGTTTTGTTGTTACGTGCCATTGAGTGGGTTCTGACTCATAGTGATTCTGTGTACAACAGAACCAAACACTGCCCGGTCCTGCGCCATACTCAACAATTGTTGCTGTTTGAGCCCAATGTTTTAGCCACT